GCTGCAAACTGGTCAGGTGAGAAACTTGGGGGAGGCCTATCACCAGGACCAGTTCCGGATACAGAATAACTCCGCCTGCTGGTTGGACGCTTCGCTTATCTGGTTAGCGAAGTAAGTTCGACAAGCAGCCTTTGCCTTAGACAGGTAAAGGTTAGTTGCGACCCTGACAGCTATCCAATTATAATCCGTCGGGTTCTTCCTCCACCTACGCTCTAGCCTTCTCCTATGTCGCTTCAGAGCTTGGAGCTCCTGGTTAAACCAGGGCGCCGGGCGGGTTCTGCGATAGAGAGGGCGTTTAGGCACGATTGTGTCTACGGCCCTGGTGGCAGCTGTGGACCAGCTGTCAACCAGAGCGTCGACAGGAGCGCTAGCTAGGTCAGCCGTAACACCTCTCATGGCATCCTGGAATCCAACCGGATCCAGTAGCCTTCGAGGGCAGACCATAACAATAGGTCCCTGCTCCCTGCGAGGGGAGAGAGCCACGGAGATGTTACATTTTACCAGATGGTGATCTGACCATGACAAGGGGAATGACACGAGGTTGGTCACCACCAGGCCAATCAGAACTGAAAAGTCTTAGAGACTGTGAAGTTAGTCCACCACTTGGTCAACTCTCTGGGCCTTAATCTGGCCACAAAATCCACAGCTGGAACCGAGCCTCTACTTGATAGCTCCCAGTCAGGGAGACTCCACCCACTTTGTACTATTTTTTAAATTATTCTTATTCTTGCAGAATTTTTAAAAAGCTGGAGAAGGAAACAGTAGTGGTTTAGGTATCTGGCTGCAGAGCCAGAGGTTGGGAATTTGATTCCCCACTGTGCCTCCTTGACAGGGGATGGACTTGATGATCCACAGGGTCCCTTCCCACTCTGCAGTTCTAAGATGTTGTTGCTGATGACTATGATGGAGGAAGAAGGACCTATATTTCTTGCCTAATTAGGTTAAGGGTAAAAGAACATACTAAAAGGAGGTACTGAAACAGCAGGTGTAGTATTGCTACAGGCATGCATTTCACCATAGCAAAAAGCGAACAATCCCCCAGAAGACCTTCAGTTTGCAACCTGTACCATTAATAGAATTTTAATGCCTTCTCTCTAGGGGCCTATTAAGATGAAGCAAGCTCTGGCGGACAATGGGATTAATATTCAGACCACTAGGCTTAAAATCCCCTACTGCATCATCAGGAAAATATCTGGAGATACAAACAGGATGGTGCAACAGAGACCCTGCCTTGCCTGTAAGTTGGACAGGGGTACCCAAGACTTCTTACAATGTTAAATCATGACAGGTCTTCTAGCGCAATACCTTTATGAGAATACTGCAGCTTCTCGCTGGCCCGTTTTTTCTAAAAGCAAAGCACATTCTACCATCCGTGTATTCAACTGGTGGTGGTAAAAGCAATGCTAGCTCATTACTAAACACCATCATCAACACGAAGAACAGAAGGAATCTCCCTGAGCTGTGACAGCCTGATTCTGCAAAAAAATGCTCTTAAATGGTCCACAACAGTTTCACAGTATGGAGATGTACAGTCTTGTCCAGACAAATAGTAATAGCAGAATCGTGAAAAGCTTTCCTCCCACCATATCTTCATCATAGGGATGCAGCCAAATACAAATCCCACACCTCTACACAAAATGTCAGATGCTTACACACAACAGTCTTGATATCAAATGCAATGCTCAATCAGTCACTGACATCAACATTGGTTTGGCAGTGAGTTTGCTATAAACTCTCTTTACAGGAAAAGTAATTCTGAGAGCTTCTTGGAAAGGGGAGAAGGCATGTCAACATGTGTGGTGCAAGACATGCCCTTACAGCTATGACTCAAACGCAGTAACCAAACATCATTTCAACCTGAAGAGCCCCACCTCTCCTTGATTCAGTGTAAGCTCACTGTTTTCTCAAGGGAATATGATGGCTTCTGGCACCCGCTTTTGACTAGAGAAGGAAAATGCAAGCCTGCACATAGAAATTCGTATTTACTTTTGCCAACGAAGCATACTGAGCAGCCTCTAGGGCTGCACTCTGGCTCTGATAATGATTCTACAAATCTCACATGTTTTAAAAGAAGTGGGAGAGAGAAGGTAGATTAGAACAGTTTGTTTAGAATGGGGGCAGGGAAACAGGGGGCCCTCCAGACATCCTCGACTTCACTTCCCTGAAGCCGCAGCTAGCTTGGCCAGTTCTGAGAGATTTAGCTGAAAACACCTTCAGATTCCCCAACCTAATTTAGAAATTTCAAAAAGTTCCAATAGCTGAGCAGGCTGATACCTTACTTTTGTTAGGCAACAGTTAACAAAGAAGCTAGCCAGAGAGAATCCCTGCTCAGTGTTAACATGATGCCGATGGAAAACTTTATACTTGCTATCTCCTAAGATGTATTACCTAACATGTGCCCATGTCCCATCATTACTAACTGCCATAGGGGACTTTTCTTGAAGGTGTAGTTTGGTTCAGTAATACTAAAGCAAATATAGAAAAATGTACAGAAATGCATTTTGCAGCTTACCGCATAGACATTAAATAATGGATTTCTAGTTTCTTTTGGTCCACAGGGAGCTTTAGAGGTCTGCAGCACAGCTCTCTCGTGCTGTTATTTAATTTTGCCCACACCTTGTCAATCAGTCTGTCTGTTTCCACATCAATAATAATGGAAAGACAGTAAGGCCCTGTGCCTACCTGTATGTGGACATGTACACGGGGTCCCTCCACCCCCTGAGATGACACCAGATGTAGCCCTCAGGCTCCACAAAGCTGACCACCTCTCTCTCTCTCTCTCTCTCTCTCTCTCTCTCTCTCTCTCTCTCTCTCTCTCTCTCTCTCTCTCTCTCTCTCTCTCTCTCTCTCTCTCTCTCTCTCTCTCTCTCTCTCTCTCTCTCTCTCTCTCTCTCTCTCACACACACACACACAATCACTCACATACAGACCAGATTTTCTTAAAGAAAGTGTCTTTTTTTTTAAATGCAACAGAGCAAGGATTGCAGGAATGTCCTTGGGAAAGGTGCTCCAGATATAAAAGAACACAAGAAAGAACTCATACTCAGCAAGCGACTTTCACTGGTGGACCACAGAAAGCATGATCTCAGATAATAATATTAGACGCTCAGGCAGATACATATAGGTATAGGTAGCTTTCTGGACAATCAGATTGGGGCAAGGGTGAGAAAACCTTGGCCTTTGGCCCTCCAGAAGTACTGATCCCCAGTTCTTACGAAGATGAGAAGACTGTAGGCCAGAACATCTAGAAGGTTAAAGGCAACCTGTATTCCGTCTTCCATTTTAATGATCAGTACTAGTACCTCAAACCTAAACACCAGCTATATCACAATTTTTCTGTAAAGAAAAACAAGATAGTAAGGACCATGTTAGCTACCTCCAGGGAAGAGATAATAACTACAAAACACAATTTTTTAGCTGAATAAAGCTGAACAGAATTATGTATGCACAAAGGCAGTGTAACTCTAACTATTAGATGACAGAGTAAGCAGAGTGGATTTCTGCTTTCATAATTTGGCTGCTTTCCAAGAGGCACTGTTGGAAACATATGTGTCTTCTTTATCAATTCCTGTCCCTCTAGAGCAGGAGTGAAGACCTCAGGCCAAGGGAACAGATCCAGGCTGCTGTAAATTTCCCACAGCAGCTACCTTGCCTTCCCCATAACACCACCTTTCAATTGTTTCTTAGCATTTGTACTGGATTTTCTTATTCAAAAAAGCTGAAATGTCTCTCTTAAAGATTAGTTACCAGCAGACAGGGCTTTAGGGTAAATATGCTGGTTATTGGGGTCCCATCTGTTTGTATTTGCTCCCTCCCCCCACAGAATTCAACACCAGCACCCTGAGGCCTACTCAGAAACTTAATATGGGACTCAGGTTGAAAGAATCTGCTCTACGGGTAAACCGGCTGCTGCCTCTCAGTGATCCTTCTTTCTTTCTCTCCTTTTGCCATCAGATTTTCCTATTTGCCAAACTAGCAAGAAAAAATATATCAAAATTTAGGGTTCTTCTGAAGTCAAAACACCCACATGTATTTCAATATATAGGCAGAGAAATGTTGCTTCTGTGGCACAGGATCAGACTCTTAACGTGGAATATGACCATCATCAAAAAATAAAATAAAAGGCAGTGCTCTGAAATAGTGTACTGCTCTACCCCTAATCAACCTCCCTCCGTGTCTGTCTCTTCAAGAAATGCATTTTCAAGACACCCATAGGAAGAACAGTTCAATGCATTCCAATGGGGGAGAAAAAAATTCACCAAAAATTAACGAAGAGTCAGAACAAAGCCAAATTAAGTTTGCAAAGGTTTTAGAAGGTGCACTAACGATCCCAGGCATTTAAAACAGTTTTTGAACATTTTAAGACACTTTAAAAATAGCGAAAACAGACATCGTTAAGCGAAACAGAGGGACCTAAACTGTCATCGCTAAGTGAGGCAAGGTCCCGAACATCGCTATGCAAAATTTCCCCATAGGGAACATCGTTAAACGGAGCGCAAAATCGCTCCAAAAACCTAATCGCTAAGCGAATACATCGTTAAACTAGGCAATCGCTAAGCGAGGCACCACTGTAGTTGATTAGAATCTGCAAATGAGTCATTGCTTTTTGAAGTAACACCTGCCACTACAGTTGCACAAATCTCAGAAACATTTACTGGTATCAGAAAACTTATTGGGAAAGGAGTCCCAAGCAAATGCCCATCACCATAATCCAAAATGTTGCTCCAGCAAATGAATGCACTGCAGCTAAAATGGCAAACCTTCAATCCTCTAGGTGTTGATGAACTACTACTCCTATCCTATGTCCTCAGAGACCATTATGCAAAGCAACCTATCATGCGATGCAAACAGCTGCTGTCAGAAAGCTACCCATGCCAAAGCGGGAGTCTCTGGACTGCAGCCCTGAAATTGAACAGGACCTGTTGTGTCAACAGTCTCCCAAACACATACACATTAATCAGAGTTTTTTTCCACACTGTCGTGTCATTACTCATTCTCACCTGTGCATGTTTCCATTGGTGGTGAAGGACTGATCACATACTGAACATTTATAAGGCCTTTCACCGGAATGCACCAGCATGTGGCGATCAAGGGAGCTGGCAGAGCTCAAAGACTTTCCACAGATGCTGCAGGAATGGTCTGTCCCTCCAGTGTCAGTGTTATGCTAAAGAAAGCAACAGATTTTTCATATGAGTGGTTCCTACTCTGCATCAAGGACATCCCAGTCTATCTCAACCACCATCATCTAACAATGCAACAGATGTTAGTATGGAATGTTCTCATTAACTACACACCTTTTTTTGGGGGGGGGTTATGACCTGGCCTATGCATTAATAACATTGCAATATATCACTGAATACTGCAATGATGTTGCTGTTCAAACAGAGGCAGAAAACTGAGAATGCACAGAAGCCAAGGACACCCCATATATTTCGAAGGACACCATTCAGGAACAACTGAGAACAGCTGTTATGCCTTTCTTATGTCTATAGTATAAAGAGTTGCACAAAATATTGCATGAAGCAAGGATAGGCAACCAGGTACAGTCCAGATGTTTAGGACTACAACTCCTGTAAATTACAGGTAGAATGAACAATGTACAAGAATCATAGGAGTAACAATCCAAAATACCTTGTTGTTTACCCTATAATGAAACATCGTGCTGTCTATCCTATTATGAAGCAGGCTGGACAGCTCAGTATCTGGCTGCAGATCCAGAGGCTGGGAGTTTGATTCACCATTGTGCCTCCTGCCAGTAGAGCCAGCCTGCTGTGGCCTTTGGCTAGCTGCACAGTCCACGGGCACCCCCAGAAGAATGGAATGGTAAACCACATCTGAGTATTTTTTACATGGAAAACCCTGAAAATGGCCACCATACATCAGAATTTATTTGAGGCCCACACATATAACAACTTTTGGGGGGATTTGAGAATACCACTGGACTCACAGCATAGTCTGAAAGTGTTTTAGCGTGAACATCTTTTATGTTCATGATCTGCACAAATTACAGGTACTTTCCTTCCTCTTAAGAGCTGTCATGATCAGAACATGGTGTTATGGACCAGACTCTCCAGTATTTGTCAGCCAGTAGTGACATGTTGGCTCAGAGATCCTGGGAGCTGTAATCCACAAAGTAACTTTCCCAAGCTCTTGTCACTGTACAAATTGCAAGAGATACATGCACAGCCTCCACATGGTCCCACCTGTATGCACTAACTGTGCCTCTTTTGTGTTAATTTCCTGTAGCCATTGTGCATTTCTGAAGAGTTAGGCTGGAGGTCACCTTAGATGTCAACAGACTTAGTATGCCTGCTGACTGCATGGGTGGGCAAAATGCAGCCCTCCAGATATTGGAGAACCTCAGCTGCTATCAGGCCTTGCCAGTGCAGCCAATGGTGAGGAAGGCTGGGAGCTGCAGCCCAACAACTCTAGAAAGCCACATCCTAGCCTAAAGGCTTAAACTATGGCATAACAGGTTCCTATTTAGTCCTGCTCTTTAAAAGTAGCCAGAGAGTGCAGCTCTATAAGGCTGCAAAGAAATGCTTTCTCTAGTTCTGATGGTAAGAATAATTCCCTAACAATCCAGCAAAATCTGCTTTTGTTTTGCTAAATGAACATTTGTTTTACCCTCTTCTTTATGGTGGTATCTGTGACAACCTGAAAACCACTGCCAAGAAATCTACTATGTTCTGTAATAATAACTGTGTGACATCAAGTCAATATTGACTTATGGCGACCCTTTTCAGGGCTTTCTAGGTAGAGTGTACTCACAGGGGTGGTTTACCATTCCCTTCTTCTGGGGGTGCCCCGAGACTGTACAGCTTGGCCAAAGCTATACAGACTGACTCTTCTGGGATACCCAATGGGGAACTGAACTCTCAAACAGTAGTTCTGCAACCAGGACCTAAAATTAATGTTAAATCTTTTCCCCCCCTCAAGCAGTGTACATATCTTCTACATTTGTACAGCTCCTAAGTCTCTGTTCTAACACTCCTTTCCCTTCCTCCCTCTTCGCAAAAAAAGTGTTTTGTTCCAGAGAATAGCACTGATGAGATGGTCTAAGAACATATGTGTTCATCCATGTTAATTAGCCAGGCAACTGAAAGTGATAGGGTAGGCAACATGATGTCCTCCAGTTGTCTGGGACGTCAGCTCCCATAATTCCTGGCCATGTTGCATGAAGCTTGTGGGGCACTATTGTCCACATTGCCTGCCCTCATTGCTCTGAGTCAAAGTTCCCCACAACACTTTCACCAGCATTCTTCTTTTTTAAAGGTAGGGACTATTTTAGATTCTTTAACTTTTAGATGAGGCCCCAATTATTACGAGGTGCCCCGGCCTAGTTTTAACATTAAAAATTCAATTTAAATACACAAACCACAGCAGTTGCCAGGAGCTTTAAAACCCCACAGTGACCTTTGCTCCAGGCACAAAGCTATTAGATGACATAGCACTGTTCCATGGGGTACAAAAGATGGCTGACCACCCCCACCCTTGCCCCCAAATACTTCACACTGCTGTGATTTTCAGGGAAGTTAACACAGAGACACACATATCTACTATCAGTTATTTTCGGCCTAGTCCTACGTAAAATGGGAGCTTTCTGAAGCATATTATTTGACAACACGATAGAACAAAACTACAAAATCACAACTGAACTAAGCAAACTTGTATTGGGATACTAATCTATTTTATTTGAATCTTAGTTACTGGTTTCCTAAGCAGAAAGACATCCTCAGTGTGAGTTTTGAAAATGATGACCTTACCTGGCGAATGTGCATAGTCAGGTGATGTTGGGTAGTGCAAACCTTTTCACACAGAGGACAGGTATAGGAAGACTTGTCATCTTTTGTTTCCTATTTAAAAAGAACAATAAAATGTTTTTTTTAAAGAAGACAAAACATTCAAAACCAAACACTTCTTCACGGTACACTTAAGATTTTCACCTTTCTGAGATTCATGCAAAGAATTTGCCTACAGCTCAATTTAAATGTATAGATGACTTTTTTTTTTCAAAGCAGGGTGGGCGTGGGTCCAAGTTTGAAAACATACTCTAAATCCAGCCACCAGAATGCTGGTTCTAGACAGAAAAGTTAATTTGTATGCCTACAGCTTCCAGCATAGAACAAGCTGGATGGAAGGAAGGAAGGAAGGAAGGAAGGAAGGAAGGAAGGAAGGAAGGAAATAGTATAACATACAGCACAGCCTATCTGCTCCAGCATCCTATTTTCCCACATTGGCTAACCAGAGGGTCCCATGAGGACCACAATGAAAATATAAGTGTAACAACACTGTCCTGCTGTCTTTGATTAAGGCCTTACCATCCCTGAAGATGCCTAATTCTCTTTCAAAAGCTTAGCTGGTAGCTATTACCACATCTTGTGGTAACAAAACAAAGTTTAACTATGGGTGCCATGAAAAAAACACTTCCTCTTGTCCATCCTGCTTCTCCCATCATCCATCTTCATTGGTTGATAATGTACTGTTACACAAATGGAGAAAAACATCTCCAGATATACATTCTCCACAACCTGCATATTAGTCTCAGATGAAACCTGATCAAGCAACATGGTACTGTACATCTCAGCCTCCCTATGTGTAGAATATGATGCCTAAATATATTACAGAATTTGCGAGGGTGAACAATACATGGCAGTGTTTTCATGTTTTCTCTAGGTAAGAACACTGATTTCCACCTTGGTTTGCCTGCGGAAAAACCCCAGTATATTGCAGATGATTGTCCGGGAGCTTTCAAGGAAGGGGAGTAACTACACAGAGGGCATCAGCACTTTGCAGAAACATGCTGAACATGCGGCCCAGGAAAGGCATCAACATTCTCTACAACTGTGCACTGCAGAGAACATTAGAGTGCAAGAAACACTAGGCATCATTCCTGATCTTCCTACAAGCTTCCAAAGAACCCCAAATTAGAAAGGGGGCGCTACAGACAGAAAGGAAATGCTGTACGTTCTAAGCCTTATGGCTAGGACAAACTGTGAATATAGAGGAAACCACCAAAGGGGAGGGGGAAAATAATACATTATACTACAAGGAAGAGAAATATTCCCTTAGTCAGCTGAAAAAATGGAAAGTCTGCAACTTCCCCAATTATACTTTGGCTAGGATCTTTGCAATAACAGCAGACTCCCCCTTAGCAAGCCCCTCTTCAAAACAGGAGTTTATCCTGCCCCCAAGATACTTGACAGGAACAAGTCATCCCTCTCATTTCATTGTAGGTGCTGGATCACACGTGCATGACATGGAAGCAAGCAGGGCTCCATGACTGTTTTAGCCAGCATTGCAATATTAAAGGCTAGGTCTGAGGAACAGAAGCATACCAACCTGAGATGTACTTTAGAACTTGGAATGTTACTTTTGGGGAGACTACAGGTCCCAGAACTCCCCAGCCAGCCTGATCATCCACCATACTGGCTAGGAGTTCGGGGGGGGGGGAATAAAATAACATTTCAAAACTCTTGATTGCAACCTTTCTCTTTGAAATATCCTCTACTTCTTTCCTGAGATTGACCCGTGTTGTTAAAAGCTGAAATAAAAGCCTTTAAAAAATCCTTATGTCCTGGGTGGGGGCATGGATAAAAGGGGGGGGAGAATAGAGACCTAGTAGGTAATAACTGGTGGAGAAGCGATTTTGTTATTCAAACCGGACAACTGCAGACACAACTGCAATCAGAAATCAGAAGTACTTATTGCCATGTAAGTAAAGAACATCATCCTACGTGAGTGTGGAGTTTTTCCCCTTCAAAACTTGCCCTTGAGATACTGCGTCAGACACCAGCTTCCAGACAAAGGACAGAAAGGAACTCTCAGGTAGAACCAAGTTAAATTGTCTTCCTTTGTCCATTGTTTTTAAACAGTCAGCATGAATTAAACACACTATTCCAAAGCAAAGGTCAGCTTTTTTTACTGTGCCTCACCGATTCACTTCAAATGCTTCATGGTTTCCAAACCGCACATGCCCTATGGTTTGAAAATGGCTTGAAATTCAGCTTCATAATTCTCCCGAAGACTCACACAGATCCTGTCCAACCTTTAAGGACTCCACCACCCTCAAGACATAAGTTGTGCAGGACTGGAACCACCCAACTTTGTAAGAAACCAATATCAATGAGTTCAACTGATTTTAATTCCAGGTGGACTATAATCCCACTGTAAACATTTACATCAGCTATTAGATGCAGGGGGTGGAGGGGAAGAAAGTTTGATAGATTATTCCACTTTATTAACAACTCTCTTTCTCCCTCATATTTCTTGGCCCAAATCTTTAAGATCAGCCTAGAAATCTACCACTTTGTAGACCCTATATAAATTGCACAGAACTGACCTCCAATTTGCACAGAAGCAAGCTATGGCATGACACTGAGTTCAGAGATACACTTTAAGACTTTGTATGGATCATGGGGATGTGACCTAGCTGGTAAGTATTGTATTGGTCTCTACCTACTTTTTTTTGGCTTCACTGAAAGCCAAGAAACTCTATAGAACTGATGGATGAATATAACCACACAAAATAATAAGAAAATCAATTCTCTAAATTTCTCAGAAAATTTAAAATGCCTTGAACACCAACAGCATCGCCAATGGGTTTAAAACATAGTTACAAGGACAAAGCGAAACACTTTGATTGCAGAGAGAACCTAAGGAGCCCATTCTCCATCCAGTATTTTGCCTATTGACAGTGTTCATCTCTTGCAATTTAAAGAATGGAAATATTAATTTGCTGGACTACTACTCCCAGAATTCCCCAGCTAGCATAGTTAGGGGATGGCTGGGTTGGATATTTGGGTAGTGCAGTATAGAAAGCAACTCTTCCAAGTTTTGCTAGCAGCTGCTATCAATCTAGCTTCCTTTCTTCCATTCCCACCACCAGCCTTTACAATTTCCTGCACAAATGAATTTGCCAAGTTGGCGATGCAGTGTGTGAAGTGTTGTCCTTTGCCTTGCTTTTGAAAAGGCTACCTCACAACTATGTGCAAGATGGCAGATAATAAGAGAAGCAGGGAAGGGATTTACTTTTTCTGCAACACACGTAAGCAAGCACACACATACTCCCAAACAAATACATGATGTCTCCTACATAAGAGTTCTTCCCAAGGACCTCTCCTATCTAGCCAATTTCCAGAATAACCTTCAGATCAAGTTTTACTGCAGCCACGTTGAATGTTGCCTCAGAGCTGGGCAAACACTTAGGGAGGAAAATCCTTGCAGCTGTGCTGACCATTTAAACATTTAATCCTCAGGGCTTTTCCGTGAAATCAGACTGTATTCTCATTGCTTGAAGGGAGACTATCACACTGTGCAATGCCACTGATTGTCTGGAACTCTTGCTTTCTGGCATTTGCTCCTTTGAAATCAACAAATTAACAAAGGATAATGATTCCTTGTCTTGAAAATAAGGGGCAAAACACACAAGGCAACTCAACCAGAGGTGATTAGCAGGAGCCTTCAGGTTTAACATTAGCCCAATTGAATGCCATCTTCTAGACACTCGGCTCGGGGTCTAGAGGACACTGCAAACCATAACAACAAACAATATCCAGAGTAGCTAAGAGGGGGAACTGTGTAAAACACTATTTAGCACAGCCTCTGTAAAAGCAACTCAGCTGGAGAATTCAGAGGCACAGCAGTCTATTGCAAGACAGGAGCTCTGCTGACCAGGGAAGCATACTTCCTCCAGTTAAGAGACAAAATTAGCAACTAATTTGATAACACCTCTGGCTTTTGTTAAAGTGACCTCACATTGCCCTGTTGGTGTTTAAACCTCCCAGGGAGTTCTACAATCAGACTTCCCTTCCCATTTCATTTAAGAAAAAGGTCTTTTAAAAGCTAACTTTTTGGACAGAAACGCCTAGAATCTCCTGGCCAATATGGCCAACAGGCATGCTGACTGGGAGATTCTGGGAATTGTTGTTTTTTAAAAAGTAACTTCTCCAAGTGCTGATGAGCCTGTCCCCTCTTTGTGGGCACTGATTTAGGGGAGGGAAGCAAATATTATGGTATTTTAAACCCCCCTGGTAACACACACATATACTTTTTAAAAAATCTACACCCCCCTCTTAAGAAAATTATATTTGAGAAGGATCAATGGTTTCTTTGAAAACGATCAATAATCAATTGGTTCAGTATTTAACTGTCTCAAAGTTAGAATTCTATAGACACAGATTCCTAAATATTCAGAGATGTACTTTACTGGTTCAAAAGCCCACTTGGTCCAAAGTTTTCTTGCCCACAAGGCAAATGAAATGATTTCACAAATGTTTCTAAAAACAGAAACATGGCATTTGTAGCCTTCCAGATATTGCTAAGAAAAGTTCCCATGGAGGGGGCTGATGGAGCCAAAGCTCAACCACACATAGGAAGCTACACTTCTCACAATCCATAGTTTACAAGCACCTGCCCTCTCTTATTTTGTGTCCCACACCTAGTATTCTAAGATACATTGCTTGTGAAAATTCAGATTCCATTTCCTATTGTGGCTAACAGGACAGCCCTGGTAAAGCTACCAGGTATAGGTCTGTGCAACTCAATGGAATTAAAGCACACTCTCCTTTCTTCGATGTATGTATGAATCTGGCAGACAATTTTTAAATCTCAATGCAAATCCTGAAAATCTTGAAAATGTCACTGAGGTGCCTGCTGTTTGGTAGCCATATTGTGTCTACTTATAGTTGCTTTGCAGTTTAACACCATGAAATATTTTTTTAAAAAAAATCAAAGGAATCATCTCTAGCCCACCTGCCCACATTTGGCAAGATTTCATGGGACAAGCTTGAATAGGAGAATAAGGTAACCCAATTGTGGCCAATCTCTATGCTGACCAACCAGGAAAGAACTCTTGGCTGCCATCCCTGATTTATTTATTTATTTTTATAGTGCAAGTATCCCTCTTAATCCTGTCACATTTACTCTCTTGATCTAATGCCCAGTGAAACGACTGGTGGAATTAAAAGGTCAGTGGCTCGAAGCAAAAGCTACACACTACCCAGCCAAACCCACCCACTCCCTCATGCTTTCCTAACAGAGCACAGTATGCACCAGGCTTTTCTTTCCCGTCCAGTTCTAAAATGGATTTTATCTTACCTACAGCAATCTAAATGAGTGACCAATGGAATATGTATCCTAATGCTACATTCATCAGAGTACGCCTTAAGGTACACTTTGATTTCATCCTGCAGGATCTAAAATTTCTTGTCATCCAACTATGTCCTGGCCTTAAGCCAGTGATGAGAAGCCAAGTCACACTCATTTCCCGAGGAACTCAGGTCCTGTTGCAAACTCTTTAAAACACTCCCTGAGAACTGCAGGGTTCATTTACAAAAACAATGGCAGCAAATTAACCAGATATTGTTCCCTGTTCTTACCAAATAAACAACTTCAGAGCAGATCTGAAAGCCTTACAAATGTAAGGAGGCAGGGAAGAACGCCTGAAATGTTTGAGATGGGTATCTCAATTTTTTTCCCTTGATCTCCCGATTCTGAAGAACCATCAGGACTTCAGACAGGTAGACTTAACAGGCCTCTTGGTAGTCTTCAGTATTTTATTCTTAGCTATTGAGAAGCATATGGTGACACCATGTTTTCCCCAAGTATTCAGAGATGTGCTGAACTGACAGCAACATCCCATGAAAGCTGGATAGAGAGGACAGATGTCAAGAGGCCCAGTCACTTGCTTATAACAGCGCCTCATCTTCCTGCATAAGGGAAGTAGAACTAACATGTGGGAGCCACATGCAGGCAGTAGAGGAAGCAGAGTTTAGTAAGCAAAAAGAAAGAGGAAGACAGTATTCAGCTTATCCAACTGCTCAGCCTTCTTGATTGAAGCAGAAGCAGCAAAAGGAATTGTATTTTAAAGAATTGTGAGTAAGAGTATGTATGTGTACACAGATTCCTAAATATTCAGAGATGTACTTTACTGGTTCAAAAGCCCACTTGGTCCAAAGTTTTCTTGCCCACAAGGCAAATGAAATGATTTCATAAATGTTTCTAAAAACAGAAACATGGCATCTGCAGCCTTCCAGATAGAAACAAATGACTTAGGGAGACACACAGATGTATCTTCCAGCAGCTGTCACAAACACAACCAACAATTTTGCCAGTCAGAACTGATCCTATCATCAGACAGAATAAGGCAACCACTTCAGGCACCAGATTTTAGATATTATAGTTTGGGGGTGGGTGAGTGGGTTTTTTTTAAAAAAGGGCAGCCAATTGCTCAGTATTTGATCTGTTCTTGCTTTTTTACTGTCATGGAGAAGAATCTGTCGGATTTTCTCCTCACGTCAATGTAACTGGTCTGAATTGTGTACTCTATACCTTGGCTTACTTATACAACACCACTGAATACAGCCATCTACTTCCTGTTTGCAAAATATTGTTTTTAAATGTAAGGGCACATGTTCAGGAGAAGTCTGGTCTGTTCCAGTCTAGGAGAAAGGGGCTGTATAGGTTGTCACTTAATTGTACTTAAAATTAAAGATTCCATATTGGCCATAATGTATGGGTTCACAACAAAATTTACAGGGAAGGGGTCTTCATGTGATAATAGTACTCCTCTCTCTATATATTTAAAATGGTTCACTCTTTACCTGGTTTCTCCTGCCAATCCGATTGGGAGCAAGAGATTTTGATGGGGATTTGACGTTAGGAGTTGCTGCAGTGCCATTTTCAGCTATCTTTCCCAAATTCATGACGGCTGCCATTGTGGTGTTAGTGAAAGACAAATCTATATCTTCAAAACAGTTCAGGAACCCTTGGCTGCTGTAAAACTGCTTATGCTTTTGAGTTTGTTCTCTGGAATTGTAAACAAAAGCAAAAACATTCAGTGATGAACTTCTGAGATGAAGAATCTGACTTGTGCATGGAAGTATTAAGTCTCATCTCAAATCCATTAAGATCTGGATAACACAGCCGATGGGAAACAGAGTGAGATGCATAAAGCACATATGCTATTCATATTGTGCCCTCACATTCAAGGCTAGACAGGAAAGAAAGAAAGAAAGAGAGAGAGAGAGAGATTTTGCTGCCTAAAACAACAAAAGAAAAGGTAAGCTGGTTCTTTCTCCTGGTTCCACATCAGAAATTAACTGCTGGGGCAATTATACTTCAAAAAGGATTACAGAATAATGTTCTGCATCCGCCTGAGGCTCAGGACAGGCTGTGTGGCATATATAGCACTACTTTCCAAAACAGGTGAACAAACAGAGGTCAGGAGGAACTGGTGTGACAGGGCTTCCCCCAGCCACATGTGTTGCTACCAGCAGTCACCTCCAGGCCTGGCTAACAGCAGGGTAGCCACAGCTTACCTCCAGTTCCAAATGAAATGCTAGACAAAAGCATGGCTGTCCCTGAAACCTGTTTCCATAAGGTATGATTCACCCAGGTCAGTCTCAGCCTGTAGGGAGTTTCACTCCAGTTTCACAACTTCTTGAAGACCATGGACATTGGTCCATATCATGCAATCAGCTAGTCCACAGGATAGCCAGTTACATGGGCACAAACATACACTACAGCTATTGCATGGAATGCCAAATATATAAACCTTGCTTTTAGTTCTGAAGTGCCTACCAATGCATAAAGTGGGCTTCAGTAATTCTACATAAGAACACCTCCATGGTTGCTCACTTTTACAAGACTCAGGTACTTTAAATACGAAACACCTACAAATCTTCACTCTTAAGTCAGTAACTGGTATAGAACTGCCAGCTGTTACGTGTGAAGAAAAAAGGTTCCATGAAGATTACCCACAGAATTCTTTAATTCTGCCTGATATTATTTAATATCAGTTACCTATACAGGCATACATGAACATTAATGTAAGTATTTAAAGGACAGTTTTAATCTTCAACCAGACTGGTATAGAACTGCCAGCTGTTATGTGTGAAGAAAAAAGGTTCCATGAAGATTACCCACAGAATTCTTTAATTCTGCCTGATATTATTTAATATCAGTTACCTATACAGGCATACATGAACATTAATGTAAGTATTTAAAGGACAGTTTTAATCTTCAACCAGGCAGTCCAGTTGAACTAATTACCTTCATTGTCCTTCCTTGACACTGTTCTGCAAGGCTTCTCTTTCTTGATTCCTGTTTCAATATTATAGGTCTAGCACCATCTAGATCCAGAGCCTTTTCCTCAGCAGCACCTGTAAACACTGGACAAAGAGGAAAAGTGGAGAAGATTAGGAGATTTTAACACTTGCAGCAGCAGTGTTAAGATGATTTCATACACAATATTTTGCAGCCTAATAATTATAAAACCATGGAAGTTTTCATCCAACCCTCCCACTACCACACAATAATACACTGAAGAGACCAGACACCTCACAACAAGCTATGAAGAAACCTGAGATGCCTCTAAATCAGAGGTAGCCCTTGAGCTAAATCAATGGATCTTGGGATCCCAAACCTGCCCTCTGGGTTTCCACTGGCAGTTACATCTCCTTCCCAATGACATCATTTTCTGTTGGTTGTCCATGGTTTACACCAAACTCTTTCCCATTATAAGTCACTGACGGGTCTCCCCTAAAACTTGGTAACTGGCAGTTAACAGCTTCGAAATAAAATTGGCAGTAACAACTTTAATTTTTTTAACTCAGTTTTTTTTGTTTCTTTTTCCATTCTGGTCCCATGGAATGCCCCTTCCTTTCATCTCTGAAACTGAATTTGGTCCACAAGCTGAAAGATCTAAGTTTTACCAACAAGAATATTTACTATAATCAGCACTCCACGTTATCAGGCCACTCACTGAAAATGTAACTCTCCCTTCAGTGTATCAGAACAATTTTTCCCTCAACAACATATTACTTTCATTCCCGTTTTTCAGACAAATTCTTATGCGTGACTCATTGCCCTGATCTCCAAATGGATAAGTGTAAGACAACATCAAGGACAGGATGGAGAACAGAAAGAGAAGAATGAGATGAAAAACATATCTTTAAGAAAAGGATGTTAGCAAAATAAAGATTCTTAACAAGGAGTTTCAATAAATGAAAGTCACATACTTTTTTACTGTCACCATTTTTAAAAAAATGTTAATGAATTCATAAAGAAAATATAGAAGGATAGCTGTATGGAGCTCGGCAAAGCATAATCTGTATGCTTAAAAGCACAAACTGTATGTCATGTCAAATCACATCTGATTTATGGCAACCTTAATATGGTTTTCAAAGTATTTGAGATGTCCACTGTCAACCCCCAGTGAGTTGTTATGGAACCTCAGGGGTGAGACTTGAATCCTAGTCTGATACTCTTATGCACTTATACCATATTGTCTCTCGAAACACAGACAATGGCCATGATAAATAAGAGATTCTGGGAATTATGCATTCCCCCATACTCTTTGGGATTGGGCATGGGGAACCCACCTAAACTTTCCCTAAAGCCCCTTCATATCTTCCACCATCTGTCTCACTGAGGAAAAAGTGAAGCAAATTTACTACATGGAGTTACCACCACACCTGTCCATGCAGCAATTGGCAAAAAACTGAACGGAAGCATTGAATGATAGACAGCATACTCTAGGCTCCTGCACATTTTCATAATCACTAGTTTTGAGCAGCTGGCACACATTTTTAATAAGTACAGAGCAAAAGCCTCATGTGGAACGGTGGCACGCAAAGTTCACCTATAACAACCTCTGGTATAAGACTATCTTTTGGAGGCCTCAGGCCAGCTGCATGGAAAATTTTGTGCTCAAGTGCTTGAAAGTCTTTCACACCTCCACCAACATTGTCTGCCACTTAGAATGTGTTCAGAAAATTAACAATGCTGAAGAAATTCCCATTTTTTTTTAAAAAAATAGCTATATTCTCATGAAATGCTTCCCTGAGGAAACTGACCTTTGCCCTCAAGGAGTGAGTTCCCAGGACATTCATGTACTTCTGATGAAAGCTACACAGAGAATGGCCTGTTGCATTGCCAAGAAATGGACCAGGGACAAGGAAAAAAAAGAACCATTATCAAGGATTGAAGTTCACAGCAATGATCCAGCTTTTCCAGTTTGATCCTGGCAATCTAGGGGAATGATCTGATACAGACATAAACAGAAACAGGTCATAAGAAACTACAGGCTGAGAAGGAGCAGCTGGCTTTTAACAAAGGCCAGCCCTGAAGCATGGCCACAATAGTCAGTCAAAAGCCAACACACACACACACACACACACACACACACACACACACACACACAGAGAGAGAGAGAGAGAGAGAGAGAGAGAGAGAGAGAGAGAGAGAGAGGTGCTTATGAGGAAATAAAAAATGCAGCAAAAGTTTGTTGCTTCCCATTTGCTGTTTTTAAAGGATGGAAAACTGTATAGTGGAAACCAGGTTGCACACTATTCATACATTAATTAATCCTATATAGATCTAAATTCAGTGCAATAGGATTTATTGGCAAGTGTACATATGATGACAACCTCGATCTCACCTACTACATATTAAAGCATTACGTGTCTATGTATAAATGTAAGAAAACCCCACATTCTGTTGCTTTCACTCTTTCCCTCTGCAGTTCAAGATGCTGCTGAGTTCAGAAAGCTGCTACAGAAAGAAAGAGAAAAAGGGGGTAGCCACACCCACCAGAGGTGTTTTTTTCTGATAGAGGTTTACACTGTGGATAGACAGTCATTTGTTCAGACAGCCTATATGCATAAGCTTTCCCTTTTGGAACAGGTAGGAAGAGAAAAACAAACACAGGCTGCAAAGGGGCAGATCAAGAATCACCTGAGGTTCACAGGACAAAAGTACCTATTGTTCTTCTTTCAACAATCCTGCTTCTCTACCCCTTTTGCCAAGTAATGGTGTCAAAAGCCTGAAGTCTACACTAATCAGGCCAGAGAAAGAAAGATTTAATGTTCTACCTGGGTTATGAAGTTGGGTGGTGGGGTTGAGAGAACAGGAGACACAGGGACCTCTTACTTTGCAATTACTTTGCGTAAAAGGATGGTACAGTTGCTTCCCTCACTTGTTTTGTACTGTGTAAACTCAGAAAGACCCAAGACCCTCAAATGTGTCCCAGTGTTTCAAGATGTCACTTAAGAAGGAACATGAGAGGCAAAGGAGGCTGAGAAAAGTGTAACTCACATTTTGGCTTTCCTTGTGATAGCTGAACTATTTCGAAGGTGCAGTCTTTATTAGCACACTTGCTATGACCAGCATGCACAAGGAAACCCCTGTTAACATTGTGGGTCCTACCTCTGAAGAAACGTAGGCAATGCTTAGGCTTACATAGCTCAGCAAATCACCAAGGCTTTACATTCATATCCGAGAACTGAACTGACTAGAAATCAATCCCACATCAAGCAAATTTCCCTGCTTCCTAACAAATTTGTTTAAGGTCTAGTGTTCTGGTCTGATCTAAAAAACTGATCTACTATCTGAGTGTACAGCATGGGGATTTAGATCCCATCAACTTGCAATAATGGTAAAAATAAACCCTTGTATGAGTCCGATTGCTATGTGGCAGTCATCAGCTCTGATGATGATGCAAAACCACAGAAAGAGAAACAGCAGCCAGATGTCAGGGAGTATCTTAGGTTGTTTTCAGAACACCAGATCCACTAGATACCAGGATAACCTCTTGCCAGCTGCCCCCAACAGCTTCTAAGGACACAGATCTCATTGCCAAAGAAGGGTGTGTTCGTGGTTCTATCTATCTTTTGTGATTCCACACAGAATTTAGAGCTAAATACATAATCCAACATCTTAGTCATATTTGGGTGGAGTGATGGTGGTTATTTTTTTTAAAGCACAATCTACAAAGATAGGTGTGTGGGGATAACACCTGCTAGACAATCTCAGAAGTGCCCACAATGTTGAGTAAGGTGTACAGAATTCCAGATAATTTTCTCCAAGAAGACTTCAGCTTCCTTTCTTGTGTCACAGAAAGACCTCTGTGTCACCACCATGCACGTGTTTCTGAAAAAAATTTAACATCGCGTAGGCCAAGAACCACCTTCTGAACGATGTAGATCACCAATTCAAAGCTCATGTGCCACTCAACATTCCATGCCAGGTAGAAAATATTATGGAAAGAGAAGCAAGAGATTTATGTCAAAGCCTCACATATACCACTGTCCATAAGCTACTCACCTATCAGTCCAATGTTTGCAATATTGCCTGGCCAGTCATGGTAACAGCACAACAGGATTCTATTGTTCCATGAAAATAATTTAACTTCCAGCTATTTAACATATGCTGAAGGCTTTACACGTTTTTTTGTGCTTCAGGCATTAAGTCAGGAGGTACGCAAGGATAAAACAACTGATATGACAAAATAAACAGTGCTAGGATGTACCACTGCATTTTGTGGGATGGAGCACCATGTTAAGACCTGAAGAGCACTGGTGAAAAAATCCAGTTATTTGCTTATACTGTCTTAGAAGCCCATCCATAAAAGCTTCAAGCCCACAAAAAGATTGATTAGCATACCTACCCATAACATTTCTGTTTTTTATTGGTGGCATATCTGATGACCTACAGAAAAAGGAAATCTTTCCATGTAAAAGAAGGGTTCCTGAGTGCTCTGCCAAGTCAAGTTCTTCTTACTACTAGGAATTCCTGCCTAGCCAAGTAGATACTCAAAATAATGTACAGTGGGGTCTCGACTTATGAACGACCCTACTTGCGAACAATTCAACTTACGAACCCGCCCTATAGGGGAAATAAGACTCGACATACGAACTTCCCTCGAGTTACGAACAGGAAAAAAGTGCCCCCTCCCCTTAGAGGCTTCTGGAGGGGGAAAAAGGGTCAGAAACTTAAAAATAAATAAAAGAAAGTCACCTAACAGGCCTTGGTAGCCCCCAAACAGCAGGAAAAAGAGTAGGAAACAGCTAAAAGCCCACACCAGAAGGGAGCCTGGCAGCCATTTTGTGCTTTTCCCCCCTGCGCTCTCCTCTCCCTGCCTATCAGCTGATCGGCTGGCTCTGAAGAGGCTTGGGGAGGCTTGCTAAGCACCTAAAAAGCCTGCCTGTGTGTCTTTGTGCTGAAAAAATCAGCACAACATGCTTTAAAACAGGCTTGTCCAACCTGCGGCCCGAGGGCCGCATGCGGCCCAGGTCAGCAGCTGATCGGCTGGCTCTGAAGAGGCTTGGGGAGGCTTGCTAAGCACCTAAAAAGCCTACCCGTGTGTCTTTGTGCTGAAAAAATCAGCACAACATGCTTTAAAACATGCTATAAAGATTGGCTTCAAAAGATTTCAAAAGTGTTTTGCAAACTGTTCCCTGTCTTCCTCCTCGTTTCCTGAACCTAAGGGGGAAAAAAGAAAAATATCCCCCTCTAGCGGCAGAAGGCGGAATAGCAGCTTCCCATTAGTTTCTATGGACGGAAAAGAGCAGATACAGATTAAATGGTTTTCAATGCATTCCTATGGGAAATGCAGATTCGACCTACGAACTTTTCGACCTAAGAACCACCTTCCAATATGGATTAAGTTCGTAAGTCGAGCCCCCACTGTATTTGCTCCATATAAGAATTTGGAAACAGGACAAAAAAAATTTTTTGATCACCCTGAGTAGGGGATGCTACAAAATGCATTTCAACCCCAAAAATTATTTTTCCAAGCTCGGTTCCACAAGTCCTGTTGATCAAAAAGCAGAAGTAGTTCCATGTGTGCTTCACTGATACTTCTGAAAAGTAGGATGGTGGGATAAGAAACCATTTTAATCGCAACTAACCTTTAATACTGTGGATTTGCTCTTGGCTTCTGAGATGCTGGTGTAGCTTGTGCACAGAGGAGTGGGTCACGTCCGTGTCAGCAGAGATGGCAGAACCAGCACAAAACCACCTAGAAGAGAGAAAAGCAAGACTGCCTTAATGCTCACCACCAACTAATTGTATTTTTAAAGTTCAATACACTCCTGAGGCCTCTGATTGCTGGGTGGCTTTGGGTTTGACGCATCTCAAGCCAAGACTACCTCAAAGAACTGTTGTGAGGGAACAGTGGAGGAGCCACAAAGGTTGCCTTGGGCTTTTTGGGAAGGGGTAGAGGAGACAAATGTGCAGGATTAAATTATTAACACAAAGAAATAAATAAAGCATGGATTCTTGAGGAGAGAGGACTGAATTCTCATTCAAACCCAAAGGTCACTGGGGAAAAAAAAACACCTCTTTAGCTGGATGCAGAATTCATAGACTCAGTTCTAAGAAGTCGTATTTTATCTTCCTACAAAGCACTTGACCTGTAATTGTCAGCTTGAAAAGCAAAATAAATAGGGGTGAAATCCAGTAGCAACTAGAGCAGACCCACTGGTTCAGTAAAGATCTGGCGAGTCTGATCCTCTGCAAGTTCCACTGATTGAACAGACCTATTCTACTTGCTAATTACTACTGGATTTCAGCTACAGATTTAAAAATCATGAGAACTAAAAATATAAATTTCCCTATTTCCATCTTATTTGCATACAAGTTACTTTTTATTCACATATATCTATGAGGGTTAGAAACATTTCTAAGGAAAAGATGGAAGAGTTCTTAGAAACGAGCCTGCAGGAAATGGATAGTCTTTCAGAAGTGTTACGTGATATGTTAAAGAAAGCTGGAAAATGTCCTATGATTGGGTCCAGAAACAAGTATGAGCAGAGAATATAGCATTTGTAATGGATTTTAGTACTGTGACACAGCCATAGAGACAAGATTATACTGTATTTTTGTAACCACTACGTTATGTACCCTGTTTCCCCAAAAACAACACCTCACCTGAAAATAAGCCCTAGTATGATTTTTCAAGATGCTCATAATATAAGCCCTACACCTACTCCAAAAACAAACCCTAGTTAAGTGAAACCCCACCCTCTGCTAGGGACTCATTGTGCAGCAACTGAGATTGACTCCATTTCGTTGTCTGTATGGGCCAGCGGGATCCATACTTCTCCCTCCCCTGCCACTTCAACAAGTAAATGTATTCCTGAAACGAGACAGAAACCATCTGGTCCTGCAGCAGAAGGGCTTTGAGGCCAGTTCGTGTTGGGGCCCTTAATGCCAACATCACCGCCACCGCCACCACTTCAGTCACAAGAAATTCAGGCCAAAATTCGGGGTTTGGAGAATTATGACCATGTTCCAGAAGATGACATGACTGTATTTGAATAAATGTAGATTGTTGTACATTAAAAAATAAAACATTCCCCGAAAATAAGCCCTAATGTGTTTTTTTGGAGCAAAATTTAATACAGGCCTGGTCTTATTTTTGGGGAAACACAGTACTTTTTTTTTGTCTTGTTTTTGTTGTTTTGTTTGTTCGTTTGTTTTCTCTGTGTGTCTTCTTTTCCCCTATGGCTGTTTTTTTTATAAGTGTTGTTTATGGTTGTTATGTGATGACAATAAATAAATACATTATTAAAAGAAAGAAAGAAACAAGCCTGCAGGATGTGCAAAGGCAGCAACTGCCTGAGGCTCTAGATGTATCTTGCCTGGTACACTGGGTTTCATTGGGGGGGGGAAGCATAACTAGAAAGATCCATGCCGTGGAAACTATGGCTGAAACCCTATACTGTATCCAATTACATGGAAGCAAGCCCCACTGAGCTCAGAGGAAGCATGCTTCCAAATACATGTGCACAAGCTTGCCCTATTAAAGTCTAGCAGCAAAAGAGGAGGCTCAGAGTTTTTGGACAGCCTTTACAGTATGAGAAAAACAAAAATCTGAGGTCCCAAGCCAAAAGATTGAGAAATGCCTGTGCCTGGTACTTACTATGTTCATTTTGCATCAGCAGAATGCAAGCCTCTAATTCCCAAAATATTTTTCACTGACTTTATAACTTCACAACCAGCTCAATTCATGGGAGGCTAAAGAAATCAGCCACTGCACTGCATCTCTGGAATTCAGAGGTCAGTGAAGACCTAGAAGCTGCAAGGCTGGAAGGAATGACAGCTTTCCCAGAGCTTCAGGGCAAAAGGATGATGAGATGAAAGAATATTAAACTTCTGCCTAAGAAACATCACAGAGCATCACCTCAGCCCTTGCTATTTTTAAACTGAATACTAACTGATCAAGTCCTGTTTGACTCTTCAGTATGAAAAAGATAGCCTGCAAATGATTTAAAGTCAAACAACAAAGTTCCTATTAACATAACAAAAGACAGTTAAACTGCTTTAAGTTTTAAATGTCTGTATGTTATGGCCTGAAGTGATGGAAAACTGCTATCTCGCATAGCCAACAACTGCACTCTTGAAGAGGGGGAGGAATCACCTCTTAAGGGGTGGGTGGGACAAATCTTCATTTCTATTTTGCCTGGACACATTCTGAAAAGGCTATTGAAAGAGACCAAACCCTTGTCTTCTGGAATTCTCTTAGCAGACAAGATAAGCCCGACAGCTGATTGAACAATAGGGGCTGTGAGGCAACAGGCTGAGCAATAGCAGCCTACCCTCATAGGCATGGAAATGGGAGGGACTCTAATTCCCTTTGTGTAGGAAAAACTTCATTGCATTGATAAGAGTTTAGGCAGTGTTTCTGACATCTTAGGTTTAGAGAAACTTGGGAACAATTGGGAAACATGAGAACTTGTAGCTGAGAACAGTTCAAATAGACCTTTATTGTTTGCAACCTTGGAGAGATACAGCCTCCTCCAAGCAGTGCTCTTTAGATGCGCCTGGTACCATTTCTATCTTCTCCAATTATCATGGTGGGAGTGACTGGCCAACACACATCTGGAGGGCAGCAGGGTTTTTTAGAACAACAGGTTGAGATCGCACTATTTGTTAGGTTAGCTAACAAATATCCCACAAATAGCATAAAGAAACCTCTTTACAAGGCAGAAAGGAGTTCCTGGGTGGGTAAGATAATTCAATTTTTGGCTGGAATTCCCCATATGAGAGCAAAGCTGCTTTTCAGAGTTCCATCCCATCATGTCAATGTCACACCAAGGGACTGGAACCCAGAGGAATATTTGCATCAGATATTTCTTGCATACCAACCTTTCTATTAAAAAGAGAGAGAGAGAGATTACTCAGTGTCCAAAATCCTGTTTCTCTGTGTAGTAAATTACACTACAGTAGGCTTATTAAATCAATGGGCATCTGCAGAGTTAACTTCTCTCTGTAAATTCCATTGATTCAAATGGGCCTACTTTAACTGTGACATACTTTAGCACAGTAAGTCACAGCTAGAGTAGGCCCATTTGAATCAATGGAATTTACAGAGTTGACTTTCCAAATCCCTAGTGATTCAATGAGCCTACTCTAGTGTGATTTACTGCAACAAGATTTAAGCAGCAGGAATTTGGATAGTGACTATCACTCTATTCCATGGAGCACCATTAACGAGTATGTAAATTTGCAAGGCAGAGATCTGTTTGGCTAGCATCAAACTAACTGCTGCCACAATCCCAATTTCTGATATTTTGCTAAAGACTGTTCAATGTGAATGCAGAAGATTTGCCAGGATGTTTCCACAAGCAAATCAGCAAAAGGAAATATATTTAAGACGGTTGGATTTTGATCAAACAGGCAGTGTCGCACCGATAAGGTTTAGGCTGAGTTTCTGACATCCTCAGTTTATCTAAGATGCACAGCTGAAGTTGTTGTTTGGCTTGTTTACAGTAGACCTTCTTTCCCATTCAGTTCCTTACACTGTACTCTATGGGGGAACAAGTGGGGCCATGTATGGGGATCTGTTCTCCCTATAGCCACTCTGAATATTACATTCAGTATTAGATGCTCTCTTGGTGTAACTGCATACACCTTTGCCCAGAACCCTCTTTAACTAAGTCATCTGCAAAGCACCATGCAATCTTGTCTGAAAACAGTTCTCACAATTAGACCTGAAAGACACTGCTTTACTTGAGTCTCAAAGACTTTCAGGCTAATTAAATGTTTTAGGAATGGATTTTCAAGGCTTCAACTCAAGTTTCTATGCTGGCAACTTATACATTTCAACTTCTCGTTTCAAGATAGGCATGAGCTGCAATATTCGTTAGCTGGGAAATAGGGTAATGCTGTAAGATATATGGCAATATTCCAAACCTGAGAAATTTTAGATAGGATCTTATTCATTAACACTGCAATGGAGATACTTTTAGGAACTTGGCCATTTTCAAAGCACACATCTCGGTAAAGAGGTAGTTTACTCAAATCATGCATTCCCTTATAATGGTTGCAAGTAAATTAGTATTTTTGCAATGTCTCACCACATTTGATTACTGAATAGTTACCTAACACAAAACAGCAGAGTGATACAAGCAGGTTTTTGAAAAGTTATAAAGAAATGAACTGTCCTTGACCTGGGCCTTTACATCCATATTTCACACTAGATTTCCCTCACCTCCAGGTATGTCAGACTACAAGTAATTAACACCTTCCGCAACTACCTCGTATAGTGAGGGTTTCAGCCTTGCTGAACGGAATTTCTAGGGACAAAATTTTTTAAACTGCTATTCTAGACCTTGAAACCACTACAGAGCCCCTTGCCCTCACTGCAGCCGGTTCTCATCTATCTGGATTCATCGGCAGTTGTGTAGAATGGCGTCTTGGGAGCTATGGTGGCAAACAAACAAGTAATAAGGAGGGAACGGCAGCTGCTTCAGCCACTCAGCTCTGGTGACTTCAGTGGTTAAGGCAAAGGGAAACAGAGGTTAAAGTCAAAGGCAGGATTACAGGAAAATGGGGGAGCCATGCCAAGCGTGAGGTGTCACAGGCCAAGCTGCACTGCTGTGCTACAAAAGGTTATCATGGTTAGCAAATTATTTTCAACCCTGAGCTCATGCCACTGTCACCAGGACATTTAGAACTCTGTGTGTGCGCACGCGCGTTAGAATGATGTTCTCTGCATCTCCAAGTATACTGTGC